ACCAGGTTAGACATGGCACAGTGAGAGTGTGTAACAGTACTCCCTCCAGGATTTGAAAAATTACTTTTGAGAAGCAGTTACGTACAGTTGTAGCTCTGAAGGTCAAAAAGTAGTTAATTACAGTTTTAATTTTTTTAAGTAATTCATTACCTATTTCTCAAACATAATTAAGATAGTTACATTTTAAAATCTGAATGCTAACAGTCCCAGGCACCCTCTCCTCAGCCCTCTCCTCATTGCCACTCTAACATCCAAACAAAGCATACCATATCAATCATGGGCTAATGAACCACTGCCACCCAACCATTCTGCTGGAATTCTCTACCCATTACCTTCAGTTGGAGGGCGAGCTATGTGTGCCACATATCCTGACTTAAATGCCCAGAACTAGCCTCTTGCTTTCAGGTCAGATAAAAGATGCTGCCCCATCATGAGCATTGACCTAAGATTCAACTGCCAGTCCATTCGTATGTGGAGTATGTCACTGTGTCAAGCAGCATAATGCCTTGGGCTGGCTTTGAGAACTCTAATTGCTTCTCTTTGTATCTATGCCGGGAGGGCTGTGATTTACAAGCAATCATCTGGGAGTCAAAGGAAGAAACACATTTCACATTTCCTTGGAACTTGTTTCACATGTTTTAAGTTGCATTTATGCAGTCCATTTCCAGATGGTGTTAACAGCTCCTCATCTCATTTTTGTATGAAACCTCTGGGGTGGAAAAAACATGCTTCGTGTGCTGCCATTGATACAGTTAATTTCACACTAGTAAAGTGTCCTCCATTGAAAATAAAACCAGCTCCCAGTCAATGCAAGCCAGTGCCCCACTCATCTGCACAACAAATTCACCCACATGTTGCCATGAAGCACATCTGGCAGAGTATGCTTGAAGGCACCTTGTTGGATCTCCTTTGCATCCTCTTCTTTATAGGAATAAGGGGCACACTTTCTTAATGCAATAATGAAGTGTGTCCAGGAGTACCACCTTGGTTCCATCTGAACACTCCATCTTGGTTCCATCTGAAACAATTGGTTCCATCTGAACCAATTAATCAGGCTATGGAACAGAGTTGAGGTTCCTGAGTAGGACAAGGAAAAGTTGATGCCTCTACCAGTGCTTAGAAAAATTACTCTGTTTTTTTGTCTATAACTTGGAATTCCCAGTTACCAAAACCACGTGGCTATTCTGGGAGTTAAACTCTTAAAAAAGGGGACCTTTATCTCCCTGAATCCCACAGCTAGCATGGGCTGTGCTAGCAGGGGAATTCTGGGAAATCTCATTTTTAACAACAACAACAACGTTTTCAAGCTGTGCCAGTAATTCAAGTGCTGTGTTTGGCTGTTCTTTAGTCAGCCTAGTGTACTGTACTCTCTAAGAGCTTAATCTAGCTGAAATTACAGCTCAGAACCAAACTCATTAGCTGGTTTAAACCCACACAAATGTAGAATGAGACACCTTTATTAGACCACTAAAAAAAATTAAACAATGCAAGCTTTCATGGACTAAAAATCCCTTTTTCAGACATGTATCAGTACCATGTGGACAGTACAGAAAAAATATAAATGAATATCCCAAAAATTCATGGGAAAAGTTTGCCAGGCATCCTCTTAGGGTGAGTTTAAAGCTGTGGGGTGTGGTCTAATGTTTCACTTAGAGTACTATGTGGTTGGTATAAAGCAAACTGCTTCATTTCACACGCAGGATGCAATCAGATGGGCATTTGGTCCAGGCTGGGGCTGTTTCTTTTCCCAGGGAACCATACAATGGAAGTGCTATTGCCATCCAGCCTGCCCCTGATCAATGCTTACCCTTACCTTGTTGGATCTGTGTCAGGAGCTACTGTTATTGTGTTGGTGGATGGATAGGATCCCTCAGTTTTGGTTCAATTCCAGCATGTGTGATTGCTAGAATCAAATCAAAATGAAGTTCAGTTCCAGCATGTGTGATTGCTAGGATCAAATCAAAATGATTTGCTTCAGCTGGCCCTTTGATGAAGCTGGTTAACAATCTGAAGAAATGGAAAGCTGCCTTCCCACTTGCCTTCAGAGGGAGAGAGAGACGGAGAGAGGGAGGTTTCAATTTCTTTTAATTGTTGTTGACTTGTTAATGCTTTGTAAAAGTTTCTGTAGTGTGGTTGATCCTTCCATGTGGATGCAATGATTGCCCCAAATGACACACTGTTTAGGATGATGATTCTAGGCCAATCCACGCTGGGATAATTGGGTTCTCTAACTGCATGCTCAGGCTTCTATTAGGGATTTGTGTGGGGTGTGTATGAGATTATTGGCCTACCTGGGAGCGCTATTATAGGAGAGTGGTGCCAAGTCTTTTTGTATTTTCTGGTACAGCTTAGCTCTGTCAGAACTCTTCAGGACAATGACAAATCAACGATAACTTCAGATCTTTGGTCCTCCTTGCATCCAGTCAATTGCCAATAGGCTTCCACTGTGTTTGATTCTGGTTTTGAATTATTGTCTTTTCTTGTTGCTGGAATTGATGCAGATGCTCTAAACAGTCAGAGTTTTGCCTAATCCAAATAATGATTTTTTTTAAAAGAAGAATTTCCAAACGGAAACCCCAAATACCCCCTACTGAAAGCACTAGTCAAGTGATGGATGGCATTTTTTTAAGATCAAAGAGAAAAATTCATACATGCTCAGGTTACAGTTCTGAATCATCAGCTCTAAAACAGGAAATGGCTGCTGAACTGAATATTTTACCCTTGACTATAGCTGTATCATTTTGCAAATTAATGGAAAGCATGACTCTAGGGGCAAAATTAATGGGGAAATTAAAGATGTCCTCATTGGCAGTCAAAAGTGTAGTGAGTGAACAGATGAGTGTATGAGCATGGAAAATTTAAGTTTTCTAAAAATTATTTTGGAATAAAACTCTCAGAATTCCAGTGACTTTGCTAGATGGGAAATTCTGCACATTCTACTCCTCCACCCAAAAGTTTTCCAACTCCCCCCCCCAATACTTTCAATGAGACCATGAGCCCTAGGGAAGGACATGGAAGGCTGAAGGATAGTTTATAATATCTATTTAGGAGGAAACAAGGTATATGTTAGAGGAAGAGCTCTATAAAGCACTGTGAACTGAAACGGGCACATATATGTATGCATGGTGGTTTTGTCCATCAGTAATAAATTTATGGGAAGAGGTAATCCTTTTTTTTGTCCAGCTCATAAGTTCCCTATGCAAGAGAAAACAGAAAGTTTGAAAATCTGAAACAAAGGTGTAATACAGACAGATAGCCAGGCCGATTTTTCTTCATTTATTCAGAGAAACAGTGAGATGAAGACAAGAGATATTTACACAGCCCTACCAATATATGGCATACTGTATTGTAATCTACAACGACAAGACTATCATTAGACTCTATGGGGTGGCTCATCACTTAGCTGTGAGATGGAAGGTGAGATTGAGATACCTCTTCCTTGAGCGCCTTCCAAGGAGGAGGAGAAGTGGAAAGGATTAGAGACAGAGGACAACAGGGAACAAAGAAGAGAGAAAATCCCTAGAGGAGATGCCAGGGATGAAACGAAGAAAAGACATAGAATAGATGTGGCAGAGAAATTGCAGAAACGAGTTAAAAAGGTGGGAAGGGAGAAAAGAGATCCAGAACTATGAAGAGAGAAGGGAGAGGAGAGAGAAATTGGCAGGAGAGATCCTATAAAAGAGGGAAAAGCCTCAAGGGAGGGGGTAGTAGAAGCTAGGGAAGTTGAGAGCTGGAGAGGCAACCAAAAGGTCCTTCTCCCTGAGTGGAATTGGATCTGGCTGGAAAACCCCTGGACCCAGAAGCGGGAGAGACTGGTGGTTCCTAGGGAGGAAGCAGAGGGAAGAAGGAGACAAGGTTTCCTGCAGGATGTTGAGAATTTGGGTAAACCTTTTCTCTGGATATGAGCAGAGTTAGGAAATATCAGGTTGCAAAGACACTATAACATTGAGAGAGTAAAATTCAGCATAGTCTATTTACACATATACAGAGAGCATAGATTTCAGTCATTCAATGGCAGCATAACACAACATGATACAATACGTAGTACAGAAATAAATGATTTGACTTACAGCAGATAACATGTCCCATTTAACCATGTCCTTTATACATCTAGAGAGCAATAGGAAAATACATTACATCACTTTCCACTTACAAAAGGTTACATCATTTTCTCCAGCTGTACAACGTCAAGTTTTTAACCTTGGTACACACCTGAATCTACTTAGTACATGACTCAAGTTAAATCAGCCGTTTTACTTTCCACTATACAACATTATATTCAATACACTTTCAGATCAAAATCTCAACAACCCTCCTATTGGGGAGAAAAGGAGGCTAGAGAGCAGGGACAGAGATTGAGAGAAGAAAGGGCAAAGGCAGAGAAAGGAAAACGTGAGAGGACAAAATGGATGGGATCAAGAGGAGAGAATATCCGAGACCTGGAAGAGAGAACGAGGAGGAGAATACAGCCATGTCCCTGTTGTCAGTATCACCGGAGCTGGCCGAGGAGGAGAATACAGCCATGTCCCTGTTATCACCAGAGCTGGTGGTAAGAGACTGGAATCAGCCAGGACGTTGGGACGTTAATAATGATAACTTGGCTCTTGTTCAAGAGTGGAACCCTTTCCTTACCCTATTGGGTGAGGAAGAGAAGAATAACCTTAAACTTGATGTAAATTGTGCCAGAAATAAATATTGAGTGTTAACACATTGAGTTCAAGCCTGAGTCTAGTGAGACCAAGCCAAAAATGGAAGAGATCGAGATGGAGGTAAAACAAGAGCCCTCACACCAGTTCAGGGTGCTTGTATGTCAAGGTGAGAAGTAATGGCAGTTCCTCAATCTTGCTTCCCACTCTCTAGTTCAGTGGGAGACGGCTGTTCCATCATCACATTAACTGTTTATTTTGTATGATGAACGCCACCCAGAGTAGTCGAATGACTAGATGGGTGGGATATAAATATAATTAACAAATCAATCAATCAATCAATCAATCAATCAATCAATCAATCAATCAATCAATCAATCAATCAATATTTTCCATCACCAGACCCCTGTGTGTTTCAGGATGGAGACAGTTGGATGCTGCTGGATTTTATATTTTTAAAAATGGGAGATCATCCACTGTTGGATGTGTGGATGGGTTTCACTGATCCTTCTTTGCAGCAACCCTAGAGAGAATTGCAGAAGCAAATAGAAACCATTGCAGTACCTGGCACCCACTTTATTCATCTCTTGCCTGACAAACTAAAAATAATTTTGTGATCTTTGGTTTGGCCCAATAAAGGTACTCATCAAAGGAGAAAAGAGACCCTACCAGGGCCTCAGACTTGGGGGATTCAGTCTTCCACTGAACCACAAACCTCAATGGGTGATATTGGACTGGCCAAAAGTTTTTCAGCCAGATCTATTTATTTAAACATTTCTACCCTGCCTTTCTCTTTAAGAAGGACACAAGGTAAAACCATACATTTAGGAACCCCACTCAGGCTCTCAGTCATTAAGGGAAAGTTTGCCTGAAAAAAAAAAGTATTTGCCTGTTTGCAGAAGGACAGCAGAGGCGGACCCAGCCTGGCCTCTGGTGGGAGAGAGTTTATTTATTTTATTTATTTATTTATTTAGAGTTCCAAAGTCTGGGAGCAGACTAGCTCAGAGGATTCTTTTTCTGTGGGCAGAGAGAATGACTTAAGGAAAAGTATGATTAAAAACATAACAAATAAATAATAACATATTGCTCTGTGTTTATTTATCACATTTGTATTCCACCTTTTGCCAAAAATCGAACCCACAGTCATATGGATGTTGTCATTACATTACATTGTCTTTTGCACACCAACTTGAACTGAGGTGTGCTCTGCTCTTTTGCAAAGCCTGAGAGTTACAGTATTTCAATCTCATCCGTTAACTGCAAAATCTACTCTTAGCACAATACAGACCATGTTTTCTTTCTCACAGATCAAAATCCCCAACCTACACTGCATGTTATCTACCAGTTAGAAGAGGGCACTGTGCTCATCCTTCCTTGAATGAATACCAGACAATTAGCACCTTTCTCTACAGCACAGCTGTATGGGCACCAGCTGGAAAGATAAATTGCAGCTCCTGGGTTGATTTCCCAAACAACCAATTGCATGCAGACAGCCTGCCAGGCAGAAGCATGGAACGCATCCAAGCTAGGAAATGGTGCGAGTGACATCAACGCTGGGGAAAAATAATGAGTGTAATTTTTCAGCAATGGATTTCCAATCTCTGTCTTGAAAAACAAACACTCCCTCCCCGACAAACAAATAGTAACCTATTGCGCTATTGCTGAGGATGCCAGCTGATCATATACAGAGTTATTAGATTTATGAAAGATTACAGCAAACAGAGTCGAAACCAATTGCTGCTTTATTCATCAAGGGGATTTCAGCAGGGCTAGAATATCAGATTCGGAATTACAGCTTAACAGGAAGGTGATGTCAAATGTACTCACGATTTTAAATGTTCAATTAGCAACGCGCTATGCCTGTGCCTCTTCTTATTAAATATTATTAGTAATTTACTTCTATGGAGGGGGGGAGATTTTAACTATGTTTATAAAATTTCCTAGCTTTTCAGACAACTTGCTCCCCATAGACATAATTAATACAAGATTTGATTTTTCTCTTCCCTTTGGAACATACTTACCCATTTTCTTTCTTTGTCTGTGAACTAAGGACCTAATATCTTGCTTACCCAAAGAGCGGGGCTGGAAAACAGAGCAAAGAAACCATTTCAACCACAATGGACATCCCATAAAGACCCAGAATGTTATGAAATGAAGCTAGGTTGTTAGCTGACATGGTATCTGTCTCATTCCTCAGGTTGATTGTGGAGAGACTACTGTTTGTGTGTTGTGAAAACAGTATAACGTAGCTCTGCAGATTGCAATGAACGGCCTTTAGTTGGAGCCAAACAATGCAAGCTCCCTTGTCAAATTTCTGGTCTGGCAATCCTTTAGCAACACACTCAAGTCAACATCAAAGCCCGTTTAAATCAGTAGAAACTCATATCTTGGTCTATGAGTCAGTCTCCACTGAATGAGGGGAATATTCCGATCAAGAATCAGCATTTGTTTTTCTTTTGTTCCAGCAAGACATCATTTATCTTCATTGGCCCTCTATGACATCCAGTTTACTGAAAGATCCTCTTGCTTAATTTGACCTAAGCTTGTTTCCCACTGTAGTCTGCCATCCAACCAGCATTCCAGTTACTGTTCCCTGCTTTTGCAATGACTAAAATATGGAAGAGACTAAAGGTTTTCTGGCACATGAACAAAGCTCTTGAAGATTAGTAACCTTGTCCTTCTGTTTTCTTTCCACATACTTAAAAGTGATAGGTTCCAGGTGCTCCACATAATGGAAGTCTCCTAAGGGTCAGTCCTATAATTAGGCACCTTAACTACCTCAGCCTGCAGATGGTAGTGGACAGTAATGCCCTCCTGGCATTTCTCCTGACCCAATTGGCAATTTCCATCTCTCGAAGGACAGAGCTGCATTGCGTGTGTTATACAGTCTGGCATGCATCTTATAAACGAGTGGGCTGCCCTGAGACACGGTGAGAGGCATTATGCAGTTACCCATGGTGAGTAGGAGTTGACTCCTAGTCCAGCTGGCTTCTATATGTGGAGTGGAGGAAGACACCATGACTTTTGAAATTTTCTGCTTGATGGAGGCACAGAAGCTGTTGCCCAGCCCTCATGTCAAAATACCTGCAGTAAAAGTGAAACACATGCCCTCTGGTTTTGAAAATTGTAAACTGACACATTTCTCATTAAACATTTTCAATGAGGAGTTGGTTTAGGACCTGATTTCCAATGCCATAGGCTCAAGGATAGCACACTGAAACAACAATAAAATAATGGCTTTTCTTTCATCATGAAAATAATTACAAGAGGGCCTGACTCAGCATGTAGATTGAAATAAAATGGCTTCCACGGGTAGCTACCACCCTATTCAATCATCACTTAAAACCAGTGTCATCTGTGAGTAGCCCTGCCCTTTTTTCTACAGCAGGGAATAGTCCAAAAAGGAGAGGCTCCTACTTGGGATATAAGCTCTACATGTGAGCAAGAACCCTAGACAATTTCTTTGGACATTCCCAAAAGTGGTGAGGAAAAAGAAGGCATACCTACTCCTTTCTGTATATTCTGATGACACCTGTTTAGCTACCAATTGAAAAGGGGTTACATATCCTAAAGAGGAACAGAGGTAGTTCGGTTTTCCTGGGTTTCCCACTTTGTAATTTCTGCTCTATTGCTTTTTCATGTCAGAAAGTCTCCACATATTTTAAAAAACAAAACAAAACAAAAAGGGTGTGAACAGAATCCTCATTATTGAAAAAGCCCAAAATGTTTCAGCCAATTATTTTGCTACCTCCTCCATAGGCAATACAGTATATTAATAGTTTTTGCTGACTTCTCTCATAATCCTTTTCCGAATTTCACTAAAGGCCTGTCCAAATGTGGTAGTTTGAAACTGTGTAGGACTCTAAGCAGGATAATTGACGTAATAGGTCAGAACTGGGCACCTGGTTGCAGAGTCAGAGGTTGGGAATTTGATTGCCCACAGTGCTTCCTGAGAGTTGGCTTTTGTGGCCTTGGGCAAGCTGCTCAGTCACGGAGTGCTCTGGGATAAGGGAAGAGCAAGCCACTTCTGATGGCCTTATATCTAGATAACCCCAAGAAAGTTTGCAGAAAGTCAAAATTGACGACAGCACATAATTACTTTTAAGAGGGATGACTTCTGCTCCCTTTGACTCCCCTTGCAACCTGGAAGCCATTCAGATGTTTATGCCTTAAGCACAAACCTCTTCGGAGGTGCCTGGCAAATACTTTCACCTGAAACTGCTTACAGCACATGTGAATGGGTGGTGGTGGTGGTAAATTCAATTCTTCAAAAATCTGTCCAGTTTATGAATGAATGATATTGTGCTTCTGTACCCATGATGCAAAAAGCCAAGAAATGGGCCAATACTGTTGCAAATGTCGTGCCTGCATTGCCAGCATGAAAAAGGATGCCAGACATTACATAGCAAAAGGCAGCCTGAATGTTGACAACACCAATGGCAGCAGTCAAGATGGTCTACAGCTTATCCTTTTCTGTTCACTACCATCCACACTTGTTGAAAAATAGCTCTGACAATTGCTTTGTAGTTAACTGATGGAAAAAGGAGTCAGGTTCTGGGATTATCCCTTGTGTGTTGTCACTTTGTGAATGGAAGTGGTGCTGGGGGGCTCCCATTCAACACTTTGGCCATTAGTCTGTGAAGTGTCTCAGAGTTCTATGATTCTCCATACTATTTCACATATATATCAAAAACCTGAAAGAGGCTGTCCAGAATTTTATAGTCTGGTACCACCAGTGTGCTGCTGACACCCAACTCCATCTGCTTTTAAAGATCTTCTCATTTCTCAGGCCCTAGTATGTGGTCACCAAGCTTTGCCCCAACACACGATTTGTGTCTTGTAGTCTGTAGGGCACTGATGGTCTGTATGTTTGGACAATGGTTTGAGGATTATCCTGCAGAAAAATCATGTGGATCCATGATTATCTCTGTATCATCTCCATATTTTTGCACCATTGCAAAACCATGTGCTGAAGAAACCATAATTTCTATGGCATAGTCTGTGGGTGCAAATGGGATCTATGGTTTGATAGTGGTTTAGGGAGAATAACGTCTAAAAATCATACAAAATCATGTGGATCTGGAAACCTAGTGAACTGGGTAAATTTACTCACAAATAAACCAGGTAAATGTATTCACAAAGGCTTTCACAGCCGGGATCTAATGGTTGTTGTGGGTTTTTCGGGCTCTTTGGCCTCTTCAGAACACGATACTCAGGTATCTAGCACATTGGTCTGTTGCTAATTCAGGTGATGGACTTCCTGCAATATTTTAAGAGCTGCATTAAAAACATACATAACACCATCCTACTAAAATAATTGCTGACAGATATTCTTTGAACAGATCTGCCTACTGCTTCGGAAAGTAGCTTGGCCAGCTTCTTTTCAAGAATTCAGCAGATGAATCTTTTTGCAACATGGTAAGAAGCATTAGCACCCACATAGGCCTGGAAATTATGGTATAATTAAGGACACAGAAAGTGATTCAACAACTTGCCACCTAAGATCACTACAGTACTTCCTGTCTTAGTACTGCTAAATAGTGTCTGTGGTTTGTGGGGGCACTCAAGCTGCCAATTTGTTCAGTAAGATAGTTCTTAATGTAGCAACTGCTCTGGACTAGTTTCAAGTGTCTTAAAGATCCAGATAAAATGACTGACTCTACCAGGGAGAGATGGGAGGCTTTGAGACTGCCTTGAAATAATGCTCTCTGATAATCCTAGCCTCCCTTTTTAAATTTTAGGTGTGTAAGGATAAGTCATGGTTTTCAACAGCAAGAGGAATGCACTCCTTGTAAATCCAGAAATAAGACTCCACATACATTCCTGACATGCAAAAGAAGCATTATAGCTGAAGCCCCCATTCAAACAAAAATCCTAGGGAAAACACACTGCTGAATTAACAATAATGCTTGTGTCACAAGACTTCTAGAAGCTCTCAGATCTCCTTTCCTATAAATACACAATTAGAATAATGAAGGAGATTATGGAAACATAAGCAGACTCTGAAGTTTATATACCATTCAGAATTCTTTGCAGGCCACATCTCAGTCACTCATTTTATTATAAACATAGAACACACAGTGACTCCTGAAAATTAAATATAACCAGATGGTTCATCTTAATTTATTCTAACTAGCAAATATAAGAAACCATATAAACATCAGTTAATAGCTAAATGTATCATGCTGTCTTCCCCGCTTCCAAATTTTTGAAGTTCATCTATCTAAGGTGAAGGCTGCTAGTCTATCTTACTTTGCTGTCCAGATAAGCAAAGCTTCCAATCAGCAGACGCAACTTTTCCTTATAGTTCGCAATCTTTCCAGAACTGGTCATGGTGATTGGCCTCCCTCTAGCATCTCACCGGACCAATTTGCAGCCTTTTAAAAATCAAAAATGGAGGCCATCCACCGGGATCTTACCCCCTATTTGGAAACAACAGATCGATCTGAGACGTCCAGTGCTCCGTCTTGCCCAATGAGACTTAACCACTTTCAGCCTGTGACGTCAGATATAGTGGACAGAGTGCTTGACCGCTGTCATACCACCACCTCCTTCTGAAAGAGCCTTGTGATGCAGTGGTCAAACTGCTGTACTGCAGCCAAAACTGTGCTCACGACCTGGGGTTCAATCCCAGGTAGCCGGCTCAAGGTTGACTCAGCCTTCTATCCTTCTGAGGTCATAAAATAAGCACCCAGCACACAAGGCAGCCTGATGTTCTTCGCCTAAACAAAAAAACCTTTGATAATGCCCATTACAGAAAGTAGTAACACTCCAGTCCCCCCCCCCCTTTTTATTTTAAACTCACAGGCAGTTTGCAGCATCAACAGTCTGAGTCAGAAGTCCGGGAGGTCCACAAGAAGTAAGTTTTTCCTGACGGAGAAGAGGTAAGTTCTAAAGCTGAGGTGCTGCTGCAGCGGCAGCAGGAAAGGAACTGAGGCACTCAGTGGCAGGGCGGGTGTCATAAAGGCAGCATGTGGGAGGTCCCGGCACCATGTGGTTAAGCTCTAATTGAATATTCAGAGGTTTCTCTGTGCAGGTGCACTAAACCAGTTAGTGTGCATTCACAGAGACCACGAAAAAGCAGAACATATTCACTGATGCAGGTAATTATAGGCACCACAGTAAAGAGCTTGGGGGGGGGGGAATTGGGACTCTAACTTTCAGGACCATTGGGGTAGGATGACCACTGGGAGCTGCAGTTCTCAGAAGTGCTTTTTCCAGCCTATGGCACATAGCCATAAAGTAATGCTGGCTCTGCTGATATATCTACAGTTGCAACAAGTCAGAAAAGCACCATCACATTAACCCAGCCTGCTTCTTGAACAGAGATGGGTGTCATGTGAGGGCCAGAATGTCAACCTGCTTATACATGTTTTACTCTTTTACTACCTAATCCAAATAAGTAAACAGTCTAAAACAACAACAGTTAGAGAAGAGCTGTTTCAAAAGTTGGCAATCCTGTTTGGAATGAAAAAAATGCCTTTTTTATTTTTTGCTTCCCTGTATTAGAGCTTGGAAAACTTACTCTTCTGGATTACACTGTCTAGCTAGTATGTGCAGTGGCCACATTACCTAGGAGATTCTGGGAGCTGTCCAGAAAGTTACTCTTCAAAATAGTTCATCAGGTGATGTGTGAATACTTGAGACTTGGGAACCTAAGGAGATGAACCAGGAAACTCTTCCCCCATTATAAGATTCAGTCATTACCAGTCTTCAGTTCATGCCTGTCACTTGCCTATGACTGTATCGTATGGGGAGCATGCACAGGGATGCTGAAGTAGCAAAGATGCACTGGCCGGCATTGTTCCTGGTATGGTCAATGCTGCAAAGTGTCAACTATACAATAAAGGCACTGGAAACCAAAGTACTCAGCCCCTTCATCATGTGTTCCCTTAGTAAGGAACAGATAACATTTGCACAGATTGAATCTTGCATTCATTTGACCAGATTCTACATTCACTGGTGCTATGGATAGCCTATTACTGAGACATGCCTACTTTCCTATGTTGGTTACTTTTTGGCTTGGCATTGTTTTTTTGTAAAAAAATTATTTTTAAAACAATACTTTAAATATTTTATAAACTGGGTTCTGGCCTGCAGAAACTTATACCACAACACATTTGTTAAGCTCTTATTAAGTGCTACAGCACATTTGTTACAGATTAATGTGGATATGCTTCTAATTTAAATCTACTAGTCTCACTGCTTCAACTCTCTCCTACGCAACAGCAATCCTGAAGAGGTAACTTAACTCTGACAGTTGGTAACACCATCCAACCTGATTTGCTGTATATTAGAATATGCTGTCCCGCCCCATGCAGTAGAGACTTCATGCCCCAAAGTTCTTGCTCTCATGTATATAAGCAACACGTTTCCTAACACTAATGCAGTTATTTCTACAACAGATCCATTCCTAATTGTTTGCTTTCATGCTGTTTTCACACATTGCTGCAGAATCATGTGTGCCCCATAACAACATACACGTTTAAAACTATTTGACATTACAGTTTATTCAGTTTGGCAATTTCTTTTTTATTTTGGAAAATTACAGTATTTATGCATTCATAATAAGAAGATCCAATCTGAGGTTTATTTTTATCTGCCTACCAAATTTGGTTAAAGCAAGCTTTCAGTATCTTAACATTGTTGAAAGTTTATGGGATATACAAGTCATAATTACATAAACTTATTATGCACTTTATTTAGGTTCAAGGAATAGAGGCTCAGCAATTTCCAGTATTCATTTTTCAGCCAAAGCTATTAAAATGTGCTAGCAGTTACATTGTGGTCAAACATTACATTTAATGTAAGAGCTGGAAAAAAGCTGTGATCAACAATACTTGAAAAGTAAGCAGTTCTTTAATCTTGCTTGTCTAAAACTGTTCCTGTGTTTTCTGATCCAGTCACACTTTTCCCTGTGCAGAGAAAAGTTCAAAATTGGTTCAAATCCTATTGCTCTTTTACACTGCCACAACACAAAAGGTGTTAACTTTTAGTGGCAAACTGCTGGAAGTTATGAAGTCAGCGCAGACATTATTTGCTGCATGCTGATTTGTGTGACTTGACACAACAGATAATATCTATGGTGACACCATAATTTGAAACAATCTGCCTCCAAAGTTCTAAATTGTATTTGCTTGTAGGCATAACTAGTAGGATTTTGTCAACATATCCACAAGAACCTATACGTTAAAATGATTTTTTTAGTCTCAAAGACAGAATATTGCTTGTTTTCGTTGTTGCTGAAATGAACTAACAAACCTACTTCTCTAAAAACTATGCAACAAGCCAACAATAAAGATAGTAGTGAGACCACACACACACTTTTCAGACATATTTCAATGAAACCTTAAGGTCTTTTGGGGAGACCCTTCTCTTGATTCCACTATTTTCCCAAGCTCATTTGGTGAGGATGCAAGAGAAGAACTTCTCAGTGGCTGTTCTCAGGCTCTGGAATGCACTGCCCTGAGAATCCAGACTGGCCCCCTCCCTCTTGTCCTTCCATGATCACGCAAATACGTCCTGGGAGTGGGGGTTTCCAGGGAACATTTAACCCCATATACATATATATGTATATGGAGACTTGTTTAATACATCTCCATTTTGAAGGTAATTCATGCTATGGCCACTAAAACCTATTGCAACTGAAAATCTTCCCAAACTATGCATCACAGTTCTAGACAGGATTTAAGACTTGACTTTGACTTTTAGGTTTCACTTCTAATAAAATACCTTAAGCATAAGCAACTATTTGAGAAAGATTTTTGGATCAAAGTAACATGTCAAATTTGGACTGCTATGATCACATACATTTCACAGGGGTGGTGGTGGTTCAAATTCTTCCCATCATATTTGGGAGAAAAATTTTATACCACCAAGTCCTTAGGAACTTTACTTTTAATATTACATCCTTTGGTTCTAAGACATACTCTACCAATAATGTAAGCAAAAAAAGGGCTTTCTTGTTGGATAGTTCTCATGAAACAATTACAAAAAAGAACAGAACACAAAAATTAAAAATGGTACATCTATTGTTTATCATCAAAAACATCCTTGATGCAACAAGTAACTTCAAAAGCTATTATCAGATCATAACTAGAGGAACATTTATGTCAACATAGTGTTCTGACTCAGGTTTCGAATGGTGCTGCTGGTACTAGAAAACAAGATGCAGTTATACCCATGTATTATTCAACATAATAAAGTATAATAAAGATAAGAGCAAATCAGAAAGTTCTGGAGCCTGAACACAAAACTAAAACTAAAAGCTGAGATTTAATAGAATCAGCGCATAATTAAAAAAACTTATGATGTTGCAGAAACTGTAGACAAATATACACAGTAGCCTCTGATCGCATTTAAAGACTTTCTTCCCTACATCCATAGAAGGTGCTTATCCTCTTACAAGTGACCCATGGATGCATTCCTTGTTAAAATGAATCTGCAGTTTGAGTCAAGTAAATCCTTGAGAATAAACAAATGACTTTACACTATGAACACAGCCAGGAGTAAAATAAATGTAATAGCCATGACTCAACCCCAAAACCATTTTGCAAACAGCAGTTTTCCTTCCTACATGGCAAATGATTTTCAAACTGAAGACAGTTCATAATCAATAGTGATATGACTGGTGTGCTGAGAAATGAATTATTGTTTTTGTTGTTATTTTTAAAACCCAGATCACTTAGGATACATTCATATTCATGTACATATATAAGCAATTCTTTGATTTTTTTGGACAGTTGCAAGAATCTATGGGACAGTTACACCGCAATAAGTGCACTGGCATAAATAACAGTGGTTAATTACTGGTAATAACGTGCCACATGGATCCCTTCATCAACTCTACTGAGTGGTGCACAAGGAGGGATACAAGTGGTGACTTGTTAACTAGCTGCAATTTACACCACTGTACTTATGCAAATCTTAGAACTACATTTTCCCCTTTCTCTTTTTGTCTGAGGCATTGCAAACTTCACCTTTCATTTTAGTTTTACCACAACTTTCACCTGAATTCCAATCTATAGTTGATCTTACCTGCCGTTTTCTCAGACAAGAAAGAAGTATAACCTGTAGTGGAAAGCTGGCTTGTTTCAAAAAAAAAGTACTTGCTTTTTTTGCATTTGAGTAGGACAATCTGTGGCTAATCGGACAAAGAAGTAAATAATTCCAAACTCTTTGTTGTGGCTGTACAACAAGAGGTAGGGGAAGCATGTAATGTCAAGGCTTGTGTAGAACATCCTTATAATACACAAATACAATTTTTTTGGTTATTTATTTTATCCACCTCAATGTCTGCAACATAGTACTCCTGAAACAAAGCTATTTTATGTATTTTATTTATTAAATGTATACCCTGTCCATTTAGACCCAAGTCTACTCTGGGCGGATAACAATAAAAAATGGCATAAAAGCGATATAATAGAGAATGATAGTAATATTGTTCAAGATGGGGAAAAGATAAAAATAATCAAATGATTTAAAAAACAAAACACTCTGAAACAAAAGAATTGCATTGTTTCTTCTTAATGAATCATTCCATCTCAAGATTAAGTATGCATGCTTTCTGTTTTCTGACTCCTAACAGAGTAAAGCAGAGGAATAAAACTGAGACAGAGCCCAAGGAGTGAGCAACTAGGAATTCACAAGTCAAAAGGGAGCCTCTAACACTTCTGGATATAGCTATATATTAATGGACTTTCCCAGCATCCTTAAAAGCAGACAAGACAAAGGAAAATGCACTCATAGACAAACCGCAGAAAGTAAGAAAGATAACAGGGATTATGGAGGGAAGAGATACATCATAAATAAAAGGAACATGACAGAGTCTACTACTGACTGCCCAATCAAGGAGAAGATGCAGATTAAACCTTTGAAAGACAAATTGCAAGAATTTCAAGGAGACACAATGTAGTAGTAATGGAAGATTTCAATTATCTTGTTATCTGTTGGGAATAAAATTCTGTAAGGTGTCATCCTTCCAAGAAATTCCTGGCTTGTGTTGCTTATAATTTTCCCTAGCAAAAAGCAGAGGAAAAAACTAGAGGATTAGCTATCCTTGATTTGATTCTAATCAATAAAAATGACTTAGTAAAAGAAGTGGCAGTAAGGATAACTCAGCATGTGGATTTTAGGAAAGCCAATTTTAATAAACTTTAAACACTGGTAAGTAAGGTCCCATAAGCAGGAGTTCCTTACAAGAAAATGAGTCCAATATGGGTGGAGTTTCTTAAAAAATGAAATTCCAAAGGCACAATGACAAACAATTCCAACAAGGAAAAAAAAGGAGAAGACAGCAAAAGAGACCAAGGTAGATTTCACAAAAAGCTCAGTGAAGACCTCAAAATAAAAAAGGTCACATATAGGAAGTGGAAGGAAGGCCAGGCCACAAAGGAAGAGTACAGACAAGTAACAATGAATTACAGGGATGGCATTAGGAAGGGAAAAGCAGAGGGGCTGAGGTTAGCAAAAGACAGTAAAAGGGAAAAAAGCATTCTTCAGGTACACACATGGCAAAAAACAGGGATGAGCAATAGTGGCTCACCTACTCAATGAAGATGGAAAAACGATTAACAGATGACAAAGAAAAGGCAGAAGTCTTCAATTCCTACTTTACTTCAAACTTCTTCCAAAACACAGTCTATGACTGTCTCTAGGCAAATGTGAAATACATAGGGAGAGGATAGGGTTGCAGCTTGAGACTGATAAACAAATAGTCAAGGAATACCTTATTACTTTGAATGAGTTCAAATCTTCAGGGCCTGATGAACCGCATCGAAGAGAATTGAAGGAACTGGCCGAAGAACTCTCAGAATTATTGTCTATTATTTTCTTGAAATCATAGAGGTTGGGTGAAGTGCTGCATTATTAGAGGAGGGCTAACCTTGTCCCTCTTCCAGTCTTCAAAAAGGAGGAACCTGGGAACTACAGACCTGTCAGACGTACATGAATCTCAGGGATGATCTGGTGATTATAAAGCAGTCACTCTGCAGACAGTTGAAAACAATACAGTAATAAACAGGAGCCAATATGGATTTGTTTAGAATAAATCCTGCCAGACTAAGGGTAGATGATGGGAATGTTGTAGACATATATTGCCTTCGTCAAAACTTTTGACAAAGTGCCCCATGATAATCTAGGGTTTGGGTTGGATAGAAAACTGTCAGGTGGATACACAGTTGGTTATCAGAATTATGCTAAGAGAGTGATTATCAATGGCCCTTTCTCAAACTAGGAGGAGGTTAAGAAGTGGTGTATCAAATTTGTGGATAAGACAAAATTGGATGTAATAGCTAATACCCTGGGAGAAATGAGCATGTTTAGCCTTTAGAAAAGACGAATGAAGGGAGATATGATAGCACTTTTCAAATAGCATGCAGAAAAGGGGCAGAATCTGCTCTCAATCATCCAGACTGCCAGACATGTAATAATGGGCACAAGTTATAGGAAGCCAGATTTCAGTTGAATATCAGGAAAAACATCCTAAATATTACAGCAGTACAATGGAACTATTTACCTCGAGAGGTGGTGAGCGCTCCAATGCTGGAGGCATTGAAGAGAAAATTAGACAACCATCTGTCAGATCTACTTTGATTTGGATTCCTGCATTGAGCAGGGGCTTGGATTCAATGGCCTTATACAGTAGGTCCCTTCCAACTCCATTATGCTTTCAGAGACTAGATGGTAATGTTATAATGGCTATGGATTCATAAACCATTTATTTTAATTAGCTCCAGGAAATTAAATTTTACACCTTCTTCCAAAGAACTCAACAGCATCCTACCTGGATGTCAAGGCCATATTCTATCCACTTCAATGACGTGCTCATTTTACAGCTGCATCAGGTGCTCTGAAAGTATTCTCTGATTCAACTGTGTTTAGACCATTTCAAATTCACAACAGCTTTTTTCCTACCTAATTCAAGCAAGAATCAGTATCATTTATTTATTAACGTATCTGAGTTAGAGAAAGCAGCCCCAAATTTGATTTTCATTCATCTTCAATGCTCACTAAATGTGCAATCCTAGGCATGTCTACTCAGAGGTAAATCTCAGAGTTGAATAAGACTTGCCACCAGGTGTGCATGTAGAGAATTACAACTTAAATGACCATATCTGCTTCATGCATAATTTATAAAAGATGTAATGTTATGTTCAATAAAACATTATATGCTCTCCTCAAAAGCTTGCAACAGTTATCTGGGCAACACTGATATTTCGGCTAAGCAACATATTTTACACAAAAGAAAAAAGAAGAAAAGAGTACTGGCCAAAATAAGGTTTCAAAATCTTTGTTTTTATATTAAAAAAACCTTTACAATATGACACAACATTTTCACATCTGTTAAATAAAGTAGTTCACTTTGTGATCATGTTAAAAAACTGTTCAGGTATATGAAGTTATCTTCCTGAGCTAAATAATACAGATTAAGTAAATGAATGAATTAATTATAGCAGCAGACAGAAAACAGGTTGATATTTTAACAATGTCAACAAAATGAAATGATTTTTAAAAATCCACACACATCTCCAAAAGGGGTGCCAAAATATCAGCATAAATGTAGTTAGTGGGAATGTGCGTTCAGCCTCTTTTTAAAGAAATTACATTCAGCCACTGTCAGACAACATGATAATATTATGAAGTGCCAATCAGAAGAACCTAATTCTGTATCATTTCTTGTTGTAATGAAGCAATCAGATTTCAAATACAATTTTTGTTATTTTATTTTTTTAATTTACTGGCTAGAACCATCACAACAAAGAGTGTCAACTAGTTATTTCTTTACTCTCAGAATATTTCAACTAACATACATATGGCATTTTTATAGCCACTGCAAGCACGGATCAAAGATCAAGATATGCTGTAGCTATTCTACATTTTCAATTACAGCACAAGTACAGCCACAATTAAGCCCAGAATTCCAAACATTTTTCTCCCTCTGGTTCCTCTCGGATTTAAACATGTGTAACCCAGGTGAATATTGCAGTCAATCTGCTTAGAAGATTTAGAATTAAAAACCCTGGTATCTCACCCAAAGGTCTGGAGTCTTATTGTAATAAAGGAAATTATCTGTTTTACAATATCAGAAAATGTCATGTCAAATTCCTTAAACCATGTCTAATATATACCAAGAGATACCAGCTTTTTTAAGTTTTGAAGGTATCCCTAATGAGAAATGTGATAAATCTCTTAAACAAGCAATGAAATAGAATATTTAAATCTGATATAAGCTAATATACAAATCTAGGATCCAAAATTATTGGAATTGAGAATAGAAAATACAGAACCTCTAGAAGTTGCAATAATGCATAAATAAAAATAAAACTATAGTTATAAACCAGATTCTTCCCCATAGGGAGTTTAAAACCCCAAACTATCCCACAGAGGTACATATTATTGTAATGTAAGCTTCTTACAAGAAGCGGAGCGTACTTGCCTTCTTGATTCTAGTATGAATACCAAATTCTGTTAATCTATTCTGGCCAGGAAGGCAACTGTTAGGTTAACTCTCTTAAATTAGGTGTGCAAGAATCCCAGCGACTAAGAATAGATAAAACCAATGTAGTGAATCATTTTCATTTTTAGTAGTAAGAAACAATGAAAAGTTAGTATGCCAAATTGATACTGTTTCTGTTGCACTTACTTCTAGTGCAATAATAGCCAAAAGTCAAAGCACACTGAAGATGATGAAAATATTTCCACTGACTTGAAAAGTCTTTTAATCAAGTCTCCTAAGCACAGTTTCAGCTGCCTGATAGTAAGCTCTTACAAGAACAGCTGGCCTCTCTGTTCCTGCTGCACATTGGTGGTGGATCAGCACTGTCATTGTGATACCTTAGCAAATTAAACAAACATGATATGAAGAACTGAAGAAAGCTTCACTGAAACCTTGTCCTTGTGCAAAGTGCTCTATGATTCCTTCGATTCTTTGTATTTTTTTTTTAAAAAAGAGAGAAAGGAATCAGTATATTCTTCTTTCTTTAATAGCCAGAAAAGAAATGAGGCAGGAAGTCACTTTTCATCACAGACCCTTTCAATCCCGAGATTGATAGAAGAGGATATAACCAGACTCTGAGTTCTTTGAGATGTCTGATGTTAACCCGTAGAATTCCTCAATAGCTTGTGCATCTATTTTCTGTAAAACAAAATAAAACACAAGCATGCATCTTCTTTTTAAAAAAGCATTCTAAATTGATCTTGAAGCAAATTCTGAAACTTTGCATAAAGGGAAACAAAACGAAGATTATTATAGCATCAAAATGACAGAAAGAAGGTTCCTTTCAAATAAACAAGATGATATAATACTGAGAAAAAGACAAAGGCAGGAGTATTTCGATACCAACATGACCACAGCAGATTTTATTTGCAAATACTTTTAATATGCCAAAAGTATTCTAAAATTAAACAGTAAAAATAAAAAAATATAAAACAATACTTTCCAACTAGCAAATTTAGAATTACAACTATACTCACCTCTACAATGTCATCATCAAAGAGCAACCAAAAATCATGACTCTTCACTATTGCAATATAGTGTCCTCGGTTTGGTCCACTGTATAAACAAACAAACAAACAAACAATCAGTCTATATGTCCATCTTCAGGTTGAAGAGCACTTAAAGATACTGGGAAAGTACTTTGATAATTACCACTATTATATAAAATGCAGGGTTTTTTGGGGGGAGGAATGATATTCAGGTGAAAGTAACAGAAAAAAAATTCACATACACATCCTTTAAAATGGGAAACAGAAGTTCTACCTTAATATAGGTGCATTGGCTGAAATCCAGTAGTACATTGTAATCAAAGAAGGCCCATGAAATCAGTGGAGACTTGATAGGTTCCACTGATTCAATGAGCCTACTGTAGTTGCAACTTACTACACACTGGATTGCAGCCAATATATAGCCAGCAACATACATTTCTAACACAGAATTTTTTCTAAAATTATAATTAAATAAACAATCACCATTACACTGTTCTATGAGGTTAACTTCACAGCAGATAACAACTCCAGAATACACATGGGATAGAACTGTTCATTCACGAATATCAAAAAATGCAAGATGCAATAAATACCATATCCTCCAGTAGTACCTAGGATAATTATGAACAGGATAATTATGTATCGCTTCACAGTGGAAATGTAATGCTAGAACTTCCTGCCAACTGTTCCGATTTAACACTGTCAGTTTCTGTCAGAAGACTGATTTCACAGCTATGAAAATTCCAGTATTTTCAATTTAAAATATTTTCTGCAAGCTGCCTTAAGTTCCCGTGAACAGAGCAAGGTGGGATAAAATACAAAGTAAAGTAAAAAATATTTGGGACAAAGACATATAAGGCATATAAGACATGCAAACCACCTTGAGTTCTTCTTAAGGAGAAAGATGGGTAAAAATAATTTAATAAATAAATAATATTGAAATATATCTATCCATGTATGAGTTATCTGAATAAACTAAATACATATGATTTGAGGTAATAACAAAATGTCAATTAAAGAATTAATTGCCCCAAACTCTTCAATGAACAATGCTAGTTATTGTTATTGTGCAATAGACATCTCCTCTGTGTATGTAACATAATCCAACATTTTCTAGATTTTTAACAGAAATGCAACAATGGCCAAAATCTTGTTGCACAACTTGAGCAAAGTTGTTAATTTCCGGTCTATACTGCAATCAGGGATGTGTGCATTTGTTGGCTGGGTCCATGCATGTTCACTCCCAGGAACTGTGGCAGGGAAACTTACAACATTGCTTAAGTTACGCAACAGGATTTGGGCCAATATTTTCTACTAAGTCAATGAAATCAATGGATCACACCATATTGTATTACCTTCCACAGTGAACCACCACAGCCACAAGATCATACATTCTGTCAGGGTTAGTGGCATCTCCAGATGTATTAAACAGCCGAAGTTCTAAAGGAAATACTACTCTGTATGAGAGTTTTGTATATCGATGCAGCTGATCCATGTACTTAAATCTTTTCAGATGCAGGGCTAGAATCATAGGCAGTTTTTTGACTTTCATTCTGAAACAAAATTAAGTTGATCACTGCAGTAATATCCAATATTTAATTCTGTTATGAACAGTCACTGAACATTATTCAAATTAACTCCAACACTGACACATATCTCGACAATGAACACTTGCTCAGTGTTAGCTGTAATTCCAATACAGTCACTCACAACTGTATACACAATAAAACCCTGATACTTGTGGCAACACCTCCTAAACAATCTGTTTGTATAACAGTCCACAGCTGATACATAGCAAGTCATAAACTATATGTAACAAGGAACAAAAACAATTGAAAGGTTTGGAATAACTGAAATGCAACACTACTTGCAAAGCATGTTGAATTGAAAATGAGAGCACGGTGCTGTACTCAAGTATTTTAAAAACCTGTGAAGTAGCTTCTTTTTTAAAACATTTTTCCAAGCCCTTTCATTAATTCAATAGGCCTACCCTAGTGCAACTTACTATGCTAACACTTCAACCAGTGTTCTTAAAACCTATTGTGCTCACTTTCTCCTTTGAAATATCATATCCTAACAACAGCTCATATTGTTTAGCACAAGTCACTCAAAGATGGTTGCTCCTTACAGTGCTTGCTCAGACACTAATATTCTGTAACAGCTGGAGCTTAAGCCAGACAGAACATGAGGCAGGGGAAAGAGCAGTTATAGGCAGGATTGGAATTTCACATGAACTTCAAACATCAGGGATATGGACAACTGAATGGCTAAAATCACTAATTTAAATTAAGGAGTTTGATATTTGATATTTTAGAAAATATACTTTGAGAATACGAATGCTGAACTCTCAATATATGACATAAAGAGGACTAGTTGGACAAATTACTAAAAATCTCTGAAAAGCTTAATGTATGCTGACCATACCTTTTGTGTGCTTCTTGTTTACTGCGACACTCTTCACAGTAATATTTATATTCACTGCACAGAGTTTCTGTATTGCTGAAACCTCTGAAATAGAGAAATTCCCATTAAAATGCAAGACAAACTCCAGTCTCAGAACACACTATGGTAATAGCTTTACAAACACCAGATGTCTTATCAAAATGTATTTTGCATTAGGAATGGTTCTTTTGAGTTAATGTGAATGGGGGAAAACATTTTCCTTGTTGCTGAAATATACTGATTCATCACTCCTTCCTCCATTCTGTCCTCCATTCTGAAGGAAATCAACCCTGAGTGCTCACTGGAAGGACAGATCCTGAAGCTGAGGCTCCAATACTTTGGCCATCTGATGGGAAGAGAAGACTCCATGGAAAAGCCCCTGATGTTGGGAAAGTGTGATGGCAAGAGGAGAAGGGGACAACAGAGGATCTTTTGGAATCTGACCGTCCGCCATTCTCACAACATGGCCAAGCCAACGTAGACATCACTATTTCACTAATATATGCATGCTAAAAATTCCAGCTCGTTCCAAGACTGCACTATTTAGAACTTTGTCCTGCCAGGTGATACCCAAAATGTGTTGGAGACAATGCATATGGAACATGTTCAAGTTCCTCTCCTGCTGTGTACAAATGGTCCAGGACTCACTGCAGTACAGGAGTGTACTCAGGACACAGGCTCTATAGACCTGGATCTTGGTAAATGCCGTCAGCTTCTTATTAAGCCATACTCTCTTTGTGAGTCTAGAGAACATGGTAGCTGCTTTGCCAATGTATTTATCCAGCTTGATATCTAGAGAGAGTGTGTCAGAGATAGTTGAGCCAAGGTACACAAAATCCTGAACAACCTCCAGTTCTTGTGTAGAGATGGTAATAGAGGGAGGTGAGTCCATGCCCTGGCCCATGACTTGTGTTTTCTTCAGGCTGATTGTTAATCCAAAATCGTGGCAGGCCTTGCTAAAACGATTCATAATTTGTTGGAGCTCTTCAGCAGAATGGGCAACAACAGCTGCATCATCAGCAAGAGGAAGTCCCACATGCATTTCAGCTGGACTTGTTTTCGCTCTCAATCTAGAGAGATTAAAGAGCTTTCCATCTGATGTAGTCCAGAGATAGACACCTTCTGTGGCAGTTCCAAAAAGCGTGCTTCAACATGATGGCAAAAAAGATCCTAAACAGAGTCGGTGCAAGGACACAGCCCTGTTTCACTCTGCTTCGGATGTCAAAGGGATCTGATGTTGAGCCATCAAAAACTATGGTGCTCTTCATTTCCTCATGAAAGGACCTGATGATGTTAAGGAGTTGAGGTGGACATCCAATCTTGGGAAATATTTTAAAAAGGCCATTTTTGCTAACCAAATCAAAGGCCTTTGTAAGATCTATGAAGGCCACAAAGAGTTGCTGTTGTTGCTTCCCATATTTCTCCTGCGACTGTCTGAGGGAAAATACCATGTCGATGGTGAATCTATTAGCTTGAAATCCACACTGTGATTCTGGATAGACTCTGTCTGCAAGCACCTGGAGTCTGTTCAGCACAACACAGGCAAGCAGCTTCCCTACAATGCTGAGAAGAGAGATGCCACTGTAGTTACTGCAGTCACCCCTGTCACCTTTGTTCTTGTACAATGTGACAATGTTTGCATCCTTCATATCCTATGGTATTCCACTCCTTTGGGGAAGCCTCTGGTGGTGGCTCCAACGGTGGTGGAGAACCCTGGGAGGCCTCCCACGGCAGTGGGGAAGATGGGAAGGCCTCCAGCGGTGGTTGTCATGGCAGCAGGGAACCTCAGGAGGCCTCCCACAGCAGTGGGGAAGCCGGGGAAGCCCCCGGTGGCAGCTGTTACGGTGGCGGGGAACCCCGGGAGGCTGAGCCCAGTTGGGATGGTCCAGTGGCTCGCCTTCCGGCAGCGGTGGCAGCAGCAGTGGAAGCCCGGGAGGCTGAGCCTCCCTTTTCCTAACCATTGGGGTGAAGAAGCAGCCTCTTCGCCACCAACAGTTTGAATTTCCTACCCTTTCCCCCTGCCTTTTTGGGTCTGTAACTCGAACCTCTGTCCGCATGTAGAAGCAAAATTTTGCGGCCGGAGCTTTTCGTAAGTTGAAATTTTCGTAAGTAGGAACGTCCATAAGTCAAGGCCCCACTGTACATGAATGACCCAGAAATGAATGAGGCATCTCCCCTCCATAAAGAAGCCAGGACAAATCAGACCCCAAAGTTTTCCCTCATGAACATCTCTCTTTTGCACTAAACTATGTACATTACACTATTTGGGATATGCTGGTCCCAAAACAATAATACAAAGTAGAGATAAGGATATGTGGTATTTCTGGTTCCCTTACCAAGCCATGTTAAAAAGTGTGAGACTCCTGCATCAAGATATGCTGGCATAATTAAAAGACATAATTTTCATTACATTAAAAAAATGTGAAGTTGAATATGACAGTAAGAGCCGTGGCCAGATAATCTTCCATACCTTAAACAGTGGGTAATTGAAGTATTTTGCTCCACATCAACTGAAAGGTCCAAGAAGTCTTCATCTTTGCTGCTTATCTGTAAATTAAACAGAAATGTTAACATTATCATTTCACACTACATAGTACTTTTAAAAACAAGGTGTCAAAAAAAAAACAACTCACCCACAAACCCACACATTTATCAATGAACTGGCACTAAAGGGTCATAATAACAGATTCAGAGAACCTCTTCATAAATTTTGTAGGAGCAAGATACAGAAGATGTAATTGCAATATTGCCCTAATATTCTACTGTTTCCCACTGAATAAATAATAACTACTTTTCAAGGCTTCCTCTTAACTGCTATACTGCAGTTTAAGCACTGTGCCTTGAGGCTCTTAATCACACAGAATCAAAAATTCTAAAAAACCCTAGTATCAACATGAAATACAATGTGGACTCTCAAGACCAACAACGCTGATTCTTCACATCAGCTGGAGGTGACTACAATCTGAAGAAACATTTCCTTGTGCTCACCAAGTAAAAACATTATTTTGGCACAATTGGCTATTTTTTGTTGTTTAGTCGTTAAGTCGTGTCCGACTCTTTGTGATCCCATGGACCAGAGCATGCCAGGCCCTCCTGTCTTTCACTGCCTCTCGGAGTTTGGTTAAATTCATGTTGGTAGCTTCGGTGACACTGTCCAACCATCTCATTCTCTGTCGTCTCCTTCTCCTCTTGCCTTCACATTTTCCCAACATCAGGGTCTTTTCCAGGGAGGCTTCTCTTATCATGAGATGGCCAAAGTATTGGAGCTTCAGCTTCAGGATCTCTCCTTCCAGTGAGCATTCAGGGTTGATCTCCTTCAGAACGGATAGGTTTGTTCTCCTTGCAGTCCAGGGGACTCTCAAGAGGCTCCTCCAGCACCACAATTCAAAAGCATCAATTCTTCAGTGGTCAGCTTTCTTTATGGTCCAGCTCTCACTTTCATACATCGCTACATGAAAAACCATAGCTTTGACTATGCAGACCTTTGTTGACAAGGTGATGTCTCTGTTTTAAAGATATTGTCTAGGTATTTCATTTCTTTCCTCCTAAGAAGCAGATGTCTTTTAATTTTATGGCTGCTGTCACCATCTGCAGTGATCATGGAGCCCAGGAAAGTAAAATCTGTCACTACCTCCATATCTTCCCCTTCTATTTCCCAGGAGGTGATGGGACCAGTGGCCATGCTCTTAGTTTTTTTGATGTTGAGCTTCAGACCATTTTTTGCGCTCTCCTCTTTTCCCTTCATTAAGAGATTCTTTAATTCCTCCTCACTTTCTGCCATCAGAGTGGTATTGTCTGCACATCTGAGGTTATTGATATTTCTTCCAGCAATCTTAATTCCAGTTTGGGATTCCTCCAGCCCAGACTTTCGCATGATGTTTTCCACATATAAGTTAAAGAAGCAGGGAGACAATATACCGCCTTGTCATACTCCTTTCCCAATTTTGAACTAACCTGTTGTTCCATATCCAGTTCTAACTGTTGCTTTCTGTCCCACATATAGATTTCTCAGGAGACAGATAAAGAAATGGGAGTGCATGATCACCTTAAGAACATGCCAATTTGCTGTGGTCCACACAGTCAAAGGCTTTTGCGTAGTCAATGAAGCAGAAGTAGATGTTTTTCTAGCTTTCTCCATAATCCTTAGCAATTTGGTCTCTAGTTCCTATGCCCCTTCGAAATCCAGCTTGTATTTCTTGGAGTTCTCGGTCCATATAGTGCTGAAGCCTGTCTTGGAGGATTTTGAGCATAACCTTGCTAGCGTGTGAAATGAGTGCAATTCTATGGTAGTTGGAGCATTCTTTGGCACTGCCCCCCCTTTTAGCTATTTCTACTTGGTAAATAAACCAAATTATAACTTCTAAATTGTGCTGGAGGCTGCGTTGTTTCTGTGGTGTTTTCTCCAACCTTACAGCAAAAAGAAACTGGAGTTTCAAAGCAGGCCATATGAGTGTGTTTGTATGTATGTGTAGGAGGACAATCACAGAGTAATTGGAAGCCTTTTAGTCTAAGAGATGGGTGTAAAAATTCCAGACCATGCTGCAAAATGGCTTGAGACTGCACTCTCAGAGAGCTTATATCAACTCTCATAGGCATGTACCACCAATTTTTGGATTCTTGTGTAGTTTTTCTGCACTATTCATCAAGGAGTTGTGCTAAGCCTGAAGAAGTGGAATTTTCTCCATCAAAACTTGCAATTTGTTTGATTTATAGTGGTCCAATAAAAGGTATTAACTACCCTTGCATTTACAAGGTACACTTTAACTACTATCTTTATTAAAGCAAGATAAAGGTAAAGGTTCCCCTTGACATTTAGTCCAGATGTGTCCGACTCTAGGGTGCGGTGCTCATCCCCGTTTCCAAGCCATAGAGCCGGCGTTTGTCCGAAGACAGTTTCTGTGGTCATGTGGCCAGCGTGACTAGACACAGAACGCCATTACCTTCCCACCGTGGTGGCACCTATTTATCTACTCGCATTTACATGCTTTCAAACTGCTAGGTTGGCAGGAGCTGAGACAAGCGACGGGAGCTCACTCCGTTGCATAGATTCAATCTTACGACTGCTGGTCTTCTGACCCTGCAGCACAGAGGCTTCTGCGGTTTAACCCGCAGCGCCAACACATCCCTTAAACCAAAGTAAGTTTCAAAAAGACAACTGGTAATTACTTTATGTCTAGACTTTTATTCTAAGGAAATAGTGCAAAATGCTAATAACACTCAAAAACTGGATTGCAATCAATCAGCTTTTGTTCATAGGATAAGAGTAGTTTCATGTTTCTCAGTTACAAAAGGAAATGCGGGCACTACTTCATTCCACAAAGACTGAGTATGGAATGTACATATTTATGCCCCCCTTTACCAAATCATTGAACAATTCAAATATAAATAAGTATTTTATATTCAATTGTGTTCAGTGTCTTCCAATAGGCAACTTTTTTTATTCTACTCCTTTTATAGTGACAATTTAGGAACTTAAAACAATAGAACAGTTTATGTATGTATGACTTGGCAAACAGGATACATTCAAGAGCCCAGGATACAAATATACATTCATTCATTCATTTCCTGCATTTCTCTCCAAAGGACTCAGTGCTATATTAAGCAAAATAAAAATACAGTAATGTGTAAAAAATGCTTACTGTTTCACAAGTGAGACACCTTGTTTCATTGGTTAATGTTCCCTGAAATATTTCATGGACCCATGTTGGATCTGGCGGACTGTTACTATTTTCATTGTCAATGCAGCCATTTGGCAGACGGCCATTTTGTTTCTCCTGCTTTCTTTCTTCTTGCAAAATATCTGCTACTGTATTCAATAGGTAGTTCAGGAATTCATGTGCATCTTGCTGCATGTAGTTATCAAAAAGCTCTACAAAAACAATAAAGAGTGCTATTATGTAAGTAAATTTACAAAAATCCTCAAAAACACTTACATTTAGTAATTAATAGGAGTGAGAAACCAGTGCTGCCCTTGTGTCTCCTTGGGGGCATCTGGTTAGCCATTATGAAAACTAGATAAGCATTTAGTCTAACACAATATTTTTATTTATTTTTATTTATTTATTTGATTTATACCCCACCCATCTGGCCTAAAAGACCACTCTAGGTGTCTAGAGATGGTACATTCAGCATTCTATTTCAGTAATATACCATTTAATGCTGCCCTGTTCAGCACTAACTATTTCGTTGTAACACGCTTTTCATCAACCTCTCACAAGTCAGTCATTCTTTGCTTGGGGCAACTTGCCCTCCACCCAATCCTGCCTTGTATTTCTCCTTCTGCTCTTTCTCCCCTCCTCCTCCAGCACCACAGACTCAGAACTGGCTCAAGCTTTCATTTGTATTTTTACCTTTCTAATAAAGCATATTGTTATAATGATTCTGTTTACCATTCTCCTTTCGCAGTCTTGTTATGAACTTTTTCGGAGGAATCACTCCAACCTTTTTCTTTTGGGTGGCTATGCTGTGAAATAGATCAGCTAAGCAGGTGAGAAGGCTCTCTTTTTTTCTGGGCTGACTCTTGTATGCCAAGACTTTCTCTCGAAATGGACGACAAAAATAAAGTGCCTGAAGAACTGAATTGCAGTAGCATGTGTTTCCAAACTACAACACAAATAAATGATCCGTTAGATCAAGCTGAAAAAGGAAAGCTTATCTATACTATAAAAGATACATTAAAAAGAGAAATTCAGAAATATGCATTTACTTGTATGCGCGTGTGTGTATTTTGCATTTTTTTTTACTACAAATCCCGCAACAATCCATTCTGGGAGTTTCAGCTAACAGGCCCACACCTACAGACATCGAAAATTGTTTTCCTGGAGAAAAAGCCTAGTTAGGAAGGCTTTGTGACCTAACACAGGCAAAGAAAAAAGCAAAGCAAGGCAAAATGTGCTGTTTGTATACTGTCCTGTAGTGCTTAAGCACTCTCTGGGCAATTTACAATTTAATTATGCAGCTACACATCCCTCCTCCCCACACACACATAGCAAGCTAGGTACTCAATTTACTGACCTTGAAAGGATGAAAGGCTGAGTCAACCCTGAGCTAGCTACCTGGGCCCATCAGGAGCAAAATCAAGTTGTGAGCAGAAGCTTGGCTGCAATACTGCAGTTTAACTATTGTGCCATAGGGAAAGGCAGGTTCTGTCTAACAGTGGGACAGCTTCCATTCTGAACATTAAGGAGCCAGACCTATGTTAAGCCACAAAGCTCCACACCTACAGAACCATTTAGGTTCTGTAGGTGTGGAGCTATTAGGTGGAACTCCCAAATGGAGAATTATAGGATTTAAGCCTCAAAAATCCAAAATCCTGGATGCATCAGTATAACTTAACCACAAATCAGTGATACACACAAAAGTCACAAGATTTAGCTCTGGTTTATCGCTATTGGTTTCTTGTACACTGTTTATATTAGGAACATTCAGTAACCATTGGGTATCTTTTTTCAGTGCCATATCATTAAAATTACTATTTTAAAAAGTGAAGTATAAAACATCTATAATTTAGTGACTAATTTTTAATGTATGCAACAGTACAAAATGCTATCAGCTCTGAGCTTTATACCACCTTATGTGGTTCTTATTGAAGGGACAATGTCTTCTCTTTAGTATGATTAAGAGACTGAAAATAGGCTTATATTTTGTCACTGCAAAACTGTAGTATTTCATGTGAACTTTTGCTTAAAAATTGGCTTTAAAAACAGTTTTAACTTGTTCTTGAAAAATGTTGTAATTTAATTCACTGTATATAACTTTACCAGGCTGCAGGTTGAAAAAACAAAGAATAAATACTTAACATAAACCATTATCATCATCATAGTTTATAAACAGGGCACAAGTTGTCCGCCCTGGTATAGAGCCTAAATAAGTCAGAAGCAATATTTCAGATACAGTGGTACCTCGCTGAATGACGATAATCCGTTCCAGGAAAATCGCTGTTAAGCGAAAACATTGTAAACCGAAATTAAAAACCCCACTGAAACGCACTGAAACCCGTTCAATGCATTCCAATGGGGTAAAAACTCACCATCCAGCGAAGATCCTCCATACCGCGGCCATTTTTGCTGCCTGTATAGCAAGGAATCCATCCCTAAGCACAGCAGGGAGCCATTTTAAGCATCCCGTGGCCATTTTGAAAACCCAGTGATCAGCTGTTTTTGATTGTCATAAAGCGAAAATTGGTTCCCGAAGCAGGGAACCGATCGTCGCTAAGCAAAATTCCCTCATTTAGACCATTGTTTTGCGATTGCAATTGCAAAAATATCATTGTAAAGCGGATTTGTCGTAATGCAGGGCAATTGTTAAGCAAGGCATCACTGTATCTCCTTGATTCCCATTATTCATCCCAGCACTTTCAAAGCAAACAGGACAGGCAACTTACATTTACTAAACCAAAGTAATGTTCATTGACAGGAAACTGTTCCGGACCAATTTCTTTTTCCAAAGCTGAGGCATTAGCGCCCTATGAGGGAAATAAAAATAAAACATCTGTTAAGTCATTTCCAAGATATTTATTCTATAGTACATTTTGATTATGCAGGGTCAAAAATGCAACAGTGTTGAGTGATCTCCTGAAGCCTGACGGCTATGTATAACCAAACCCCTGTATCCTGGGGGTGGGATCGCAAATATTTTCCCTACAAAAGGGGGGGAATTATTAAGAATGTTCTCTCTTACTCCCCAGTGGCCTAGTCTTTTAAAAAAATAAAAACTTGCTTGGTGGTATGGACAGGGTCCTAAGAACAGGGGGATTCCAGTCTAAACCACCACTGGTACCATTTTATAATGAAGCCCCAGTACCCCTAGATTACATAAGGGAACATTGAGCCAAAAAGGACTTTCTCACACACACACACCCAAAAGTTGAAAATTTGGAGGAGCATGGGGTCTTTTGGATTCTGCATGAAGCATATGGACTAAATGTTGCCCACCTCCAAACTAAGGTAGAGGTTAGAGATATCCTACAAAAAGATCAGTTATAGAGGCTTTGTTGTGTATATACAGCAGGAAGTCAGGAAATCAGGGGCTGATCACCAATCACAATCTTTTGTATAAGTTTAGAACCACATAGGCTGATCATACATGTCTCATTTTAATGTTGATATTAAACTGCTGTGCTTTTGTTTTTTTATTTCAGGCCACTCTTCTAAAATTATGGTTAGTTGTTACCAGTGGAAACGTATACATTCTGCTACTAGCTACACAGTCTAAAATTAACATTCTGAATGCTTCTTCCAACATAATTAAAAGGGGGGGGGACACAAGACACATGAAAATAGGGCCAGAAGGTTCCAATGTTTCAGTCAAGAGAAAAATAAATTATACAAGGCAGATACCTTCAATACACAATAGGCTAAGATAAATATATCACCATTAAATCACAAAGTATAACATATTTGATCATCTGCAGCTGCTGGAGTAGAAGAGTTGCAGAGGAGCTGAATGAATTTTCTGAATAATATGCTAACTGATCAACTAGATCCTACACATGCTTAAGTGTTCCAAGCTAGTAATTACAGGCTGTAATTAAAATGACCCAAAACAGGGCACTGAGGCACAAACATGCTTAAAAAATTAGAATTAATTTAATTTAAGCTAGGTATCTTAATATTAACTGAGCTCTAAAGCAAGGCCAAAACACCTATATTATTTACTTATTTTCTTTTACATATCATTCTTCTGTGCAAAAAACAGCCATAATGCTGTACATCATAATGACACAAAACATTAAAACATATAACAAACACAACCATCTATAATAGCAAAAATTCTTCACGTAAGTGGCGGAAACAACATCTGAAGACACAGTGGAGCAGGACTACCTTACGTTTCCTCCTGAATCCTTGCTCGGACATCATATGTGGCAGGAATTCAGCCAGAGAGTTCCAGGACATAAGGGCAGCAATACAAACAGGTCTTTTTCTAATACATTTGAGCTGAACAACTGTAAAAGTTGGCACCTTTAAAAGGTCAGTTCCAGATAACTTCAATTGGTGCAGTAGTTTATATAGGTAGAGACATCCAAAAAGTATGTGTGTCCCAAGCTGTACAGTGGTGCCTCACTAGACAATTACCCTGCATGAGTTTTTTCGCTAGACATTGACTTTTTGCGATCACTATAGCGATTTGCAAAACAGTGATTCCTATGGGGGAATTTCGCTGGACAATGTTTGGTCCCTGCTTCGCAAACTGATTTTTGCTAGATGACAATTTGCTTTTCGCTAGACAATGATTTCGCTAAACAGCAATTTCAGTGGAACAGATTATCATCGCCTAGCGAGGCACCACTGTATAGGGTTTTAAAAATAATAACCAAAACCTTGAATTAACCTGAAAAAACGATGGCAGCCAGTGTAACTGGCACAAAACAGATGTCACATGGTGGTGGGAGGCAACTGTCAACAGCCTAGCTGCCCTGTACTGTATCAATTGAAGCTTCTGAATTGTCTTCAAAGCATATACAATAAATTACCATATTCTAATCTCAAGGTTAAAGGAGTCATCAGTGTAATCACATCTACCCTCTTCAGATAGGAAGAAAGTTTGCAGACCAGAGACAGCTAGTAAAGTGCCAACCAGCTCCTACCAGTTTCTTCAGAAGGTGCATTAGGTGTAAAAAAACACCCAGAACTTTATCTGGAACACTAGAGGAAATTGTCACGCAATCAACAATTACAGAGAAGACTGATGGATTTATCAGTAGCCGAGTGACCCGCATTGCCTCTGACTTGTTTGGATTCAACTTCAGTTTGCTGAGCCTCACTTGGCCACAGCCTCCAGAGAGGTTGTTCTGGCTGCAAGGTTACTGACAGCATAATCAGCATATTGATGAAACTCAGCTTCAACATAATCTCCACCGGTGGTCTCATGTACAGTATACACACCTTCACATTTCATAAATATTTCAGTATATCTTTTCATGTGACAACACTGAAGAAATGGCACTTAGCTACAATGTAAAGCAGCAAGTATACAGCTTGTATAAGAGTGTAAATGTGCTGTCCCCTCAAAATAATGCAACACACAGCCATTAATGTCTAAACCGGAAAGAAAGCTATTTTTTTCTTATGTTACCCTGAAATTTCTATGCAACTAATGGGCAAATACATAAACGTGGAATATACAGTATGTATATATTTAAAAAGCCAGAGTACAACATACAGTGATGACTCGACTTACGAACACCCCTATCTACAAACATTTCGACTTACAAACAGCTCTGCCTGCAAAATTTTGCTTCGACTTGCGAGTGGAGCTTCGACCTAAGAACAGAAAAGGCTAGGGGGGAAAGGAGGGAAATTCAAACCATTGGTGGCAAAGAAGCTGATTCTTTGTAGCTCTTTCACCCCAACAGTTAGAGCAGGGGATCAGGGAACTTTTTGACTCCTGACGTGCAGGAGGAGGAAGGAGAGTTCGGGGCAGCTCTGGATTGCTGCCGGGTGCAGGAAGCTGGTGTGTTCCCTGCCCATCCCTGGCGCAGGTCTACTCATGAGTAAGGCCCGCGGAAGTCACAGGTCTACTCATGAGTAAGGGCCCCCTCCGCCACCCTACGCCTGTTGCCGGCCACCATCCACTGGGGAGTGAGTGCCATCGGAAGAGGCTTCGGTCTGCCTGGTAAGGTGCTACTTTTTGCTTTTTAGAAACTTCTGGGTGGGTTTTGCAGGGTGGGTTTCTGCTTAGCGGGGTTATGTTTCTGTACTTTATTGTTTTGTTTTTTGTAATCCCAGCATGGGGATTGCTCAATATATTTTTGGTTTTTTGCTTTGTTTAGTTTTTGCAGCATTCGGGGCTTGCTCTGTTTATTTTTGGTTGGTTGTTGTTGTTTTTAAAGCCCCAGCACCTTCCGATGGGGCTTTCTGTGTGCTTTATTTATTTATTTATTTTGTATTTTTATGAAATGCTGAAATGGGTTAATCCCATTCCCATGCATTTCAGTGGAAAATGGTGCTTCGACTTATGAGCATTTCGACCTATGAACACAATTCTGGATTAAGTTCGTAAGTCAAGGCACCACTTATACTGTACACCGGCAACAACAAGTGCGGTCAGATTTTCATATGCAACAACAATCAAGTAAGTTTTAAGGAAATGTTGACTTCTGTATGTTAGTCACGAGTCTAAGGAAGGCATTTGATTATCAAGCCCATGCATGTATGCTTCATCTATCCTCACAAATTTGTCATAAGCATCCACCAACTACCTCACTGGTATTTTACACTGTTAACATCATACTCAAAGTCATTAAGCAGCCTGGATTCTAGCCTGTAATCTCTGTTTAGCAGTATTACATTTGTTCTACAGAATTCCTGGTGGGAGAAAGTCATGCAAATATCTGCTCATATATCTAAGTGTGTTGAACAATCATAAGATACTCAGTTAGCTATGATTGCTTACTCAAACAACACTTTGGCTTTACAAAGACACAGGGTAGATATAAAACAATTTCAAAGAAAATGTTTTTAAATGATTAATTTTAATATTTAAAATAAGCTGGTTTTAAATGATATTGGAATACAATAACATTATGTTTAAAAGGGCCATAACAATTATCAGTGACTCTGCGCTATGACAATAAGCTTCATGCTCCCTCCTGTTCCTCCACTTATCTCCTAGTTTGCCATTACACCTGAAATGGTATAGTTTGCACTTGCTCTCTGAATCAGGACTGCACTCTGTGATTTGAAGCCAATTTCTAATACTGCTTTGGGGGGCAAGTCCAAAGCACTTTGCTGATGATACAAATGCAATGAAAGGAACCAATTAAGCAGACCACATGAGCATGAACTGAAGCCAGAGGTTGGGTCACTGAGTGTTAATAAAAGAATCAACCAAATTCTAAGTGAGTGATCTAGGGGGGAAAGGAGACTGGCACTTTTCAATTAAGCAAATATAAACTGTAAGTCTTCTAATATGTGTATTGTTGTGATAACTGTGAGCATTTACAACCCATTAAGCAGGAGCCTACCTATATGCTGCCTGTGTGTCACAGAAAGTTTCCAATAACTATTGGCTACTGTTTTAGGTGAATGCAAGGAAATCAGTCTACAACTAAGTGATCTTGCTTTCTTTTAGATGCACCAAAAATAATAAAGAAAAATCCTCAATTTCTGCAGACCTAATCCAATAAAGTATATGCTACCACTTACTTGCAAACAGATGCTGTTTACAGTAGGACTGCTGCATCTGCAGGATCAGTATCCACAGTCTGAAAATAATATTTTTTAAAACCCTAGGGGGAAAAAAGTATTTTCATGATGTATTTACCAGAACTAGCCACCAGACACCATACTACCGTATGTATTCTTGTTGTTGGAATACAGTACATAGCACTCTGGCTGTCTCTAGTGGCCAATTCTGGTAAACAGATGGTGAAAATATTTTTTCTGATTTTTTTTTCTTTTATCATGCTATGTATATCCACCATTTTCAGCATCTGCAGGGTGGAGGTGGGGCTTAGAACCA